TGTCCTCCGTGAACTCTTTAGTAATTCTAACTAGTGGATGAGGCTGCTCAGGATATGGGTTGAGTGCCTGCAGAGTGTCAAACAGAGCATACCTGTGCCAGGTGGACCATAGAGAATGACCCCCTTAGGGGGCTTTATACCCATCTCTTCATAGTATTCAGGATGGGTGAGAGGAAGCTCCACAGATTCCTATAGAAAAAAACACTCAGTAAAAATGAAAGGCTTTCTTAAATTATTAGCAGGGTTCTACATCATGAGAATATCAACAAAATTAAGGGAAAATCTTCCTTCTTACAATGACAGTTATTAGCACCACGGACATACTAGGTCCCACTTGAACTTGTAGCAGCCATCTCGTTACACTCAATGTCACTTTTACTTTCCAGTAAAAGTCAGCTTTGAGCAACATTTATTCAAGCTACTCCTGAGCAAAAGTGACGTAAAAAAAGAGAAAACTCACCCTTTTCATTTATCATATTCCCACTGGAGCTGTCATTCATACATCTCACTGCTAGGCAGCTGTGAACGACCATGAATGCTCACTGTGTAGTGTGTATAACCCGATGGTCTGTCCCATGCTGCCCCATGAGATGGTCATGCATGGATCAGCCACTCATGAGTCAAGCCAGAAGGAATGTGTTAAATCAGAGACAGAAGCTGTGATTATGTTCTAGATTTATCGCTGTGAAGGTGAGCAGATAAACGTGCTACCTTCATACAACACCTTTTGTTTCCAGATATCCAGACCTGAACTGGACACATAATGTCTTCACACAGACAACTCTTTAAACTTTACATATAAAAAGTAGTGAAGTGTTGCTGTTGCTGCTGCAAGAACTATCACACACTTGTCATTTCTAGTACCTAGCTCAGTTTTAACACAAACTACAACAAGCAAGCTGAGTCAGTCATTGGTCTGATCAATGAGGAAAAGGAACCAAACCAAGACCAAAGTACTTTTCATGGGACAGCAATAAGAAACCACAATACATGAGACTGAGCATGGTGGCACATGCCTGTAATCCTAGGACTTGGGAGGGTGAAAACAGGAGGATCACTACAAGTCTCATTTGTGTAGTGAGACCCTGTACTAAATACATTAGAAAACAAAACAAAAAACTATAAACCAATATAAAACCCTAGAACTGTTTCCCAGCTGTACCTTTATTTCCTGGATTTGGTTGTCCAACCCACCAATGTCAGCATAGGTTTCCTGGGGGGCCTTTTCCACCTTCATCACTGTGACCAGAGGATCTGTGTCATCCATCAGCACCCCAATCACAGCATGCACCTAACAAGGAACACCAAGCTTTAACAGAGGAACACAAGGGCACCTCAATCTGTTTATAATGAAGCACACCATTTACAGCATCTTGCTATGCTCCAGAAGACTCTGGTGCTCCACATCATAGGACAGGTGGACAGAGCTAAGTGAAAGAACCAACTCCCACAGGTTTCCCTGGAGGCTAGCAACTCACTTTGTGGTTGAGTAGGACTGAGCAGCCGGGTTCCAGCAGATCCTTGTCCACAAATGAAAGGATGCTGACGTAGTGTTCTGAGCCCACAGATGTAGACACGATGGCATGATTGTCATCAATGATCTCTTCCAAGGTTCCTACTGACATTGGGGTCCCCCTCAGATCATCTACCTTTGACCTTTCCTCCTATACATGAACACACCGTGAAGGAAAAGTACATTAGACCTGAAAGGTGGATGATCCTACCTAATAGTTTAGTATGTTTACCAAGCAACTAATGCTTTCAAAAGGTAGCTAGTGAGGCTTTGTACAAGCCTGAATGGGATTTGAATCTCACTGTTGACAGTTTTGAGTTCTAAATAGAATTGAATTTGTTAAAAAAAAAAAATAAATAAAAAATTACAGTACCTTCTGCACTTACCTCTTGCTTTTCTTCTAATGGTTTCATTTGTTCCTGATTTCTAATAAATTCTTCCTCCATGAGAAGATAGTCTTTAATTCTGTCTAACTTGAGTAGTTTTAATCGGCACTGAGTGTGAGGTGTCACTGAAATTACATAAGGTATCACACTTGGAACTTGGAACTTAAAGCTTGAATTATGAAAAAAAAAATCAAGGTTTTTAAATTAAATTCATTTTAAGATTTTAAACTGGGTATGATGATGCATCCCTATAGTCCCAGCACTTGGGAGGCCAAGGCAGGATGGTTGCCAGATTTGAGGCCTCCCTGGGCTACAAAATAAGAGCCTGTATCAAAAAAAAAAAAAAAAAAAAGATTGTGAAAAGTTCACAGTTTGTTAACCTCAATAAGCAAGTGCCCAGATAAAAAAACAGAGAGGAACTCTGTACTCATAATAGTCATGACCAAAGAGCCAGCAAGAAGAGACATGTTCACTGCTTTCACTAAGGCAAAAAACCCAATGACACAAAAAACAGTTTGGTTTATTTTTCCCATGGATACAAAATAAGAGAATTCCTGCTCAGTTAGCATACACTGTTGCATACTAGCTACGCACATACTCATCCACTGGCAGAACTTTACAGCAGCAGGGACATCAACCACCATCACATGTGGCAAACATTTTTTCTATACTTTGTTTCTTTTGGATTTGAAGTCCTGTGCTACAGAAGATTTTTCTCATTCACACAGACAAATTTGTCAACTTTTTCTTATGGTTTCCACATTTTCTAACTGACTGACTGACTGACTGACTGACTGACTGAGAGAGAGAGAGAGAGAGAGAGAGAGAGAGAGAGAGAGAGAGAGAGTGTGTGTGTCTGTCTGTCTGTCTGTCTTTCCTTCTTTCTGTGGTACCAGGGATTGAACTTGGGACCTTCACTTGGCAAGCAGGTGCTTATGTCAGTGAGCTATATCCCTGGTCCCATACGTTTTCTAACTTTAAAAAGCTGCTAAAGTTAAATATATTCCTCAATTTTTATTTATTTGAGTTTTTTCTCATATATACATCTGTAATCCATCTGGCCAGAGGCAAGTGATCTAATTTAATTTTCTCTGGATAGAAATTAAAAAGTGGCAATTATTTATATTAAATAACGCATCCCATTCCCCACAAAACTGCAGTGTCCCCCTCCATATATATTACATATCCATACAACTTGACTTTCTTTGGGTTTCCTGTTCTGTACTGGTGACCTGTCTCTGTATGTACTAGGACCACACTGACTCATGATAGTAGACTAATAGCTGACTCTCTTTACTGACTGTTGGTTTTACTATTTGACTCCTTTTGCATGTGAGGCAAGCACCATACCACTGACCTATGTCCCCAGCTGCTTTTTAAAAAATTCTAAGACACCATGTAAGTTTTCCCAGGCTGGCACTGAGCTTGCAGTCCTCACGTGCAGCCTCCCAAGTAGCTGGGAACACAGAATGCATCACTGTACCTGCTCCCTTTCATTCTCAACTAAGTCACTTTTTTTTTTTTTTTTTTTTTTTTTTTAAAGGTAAGAGTAAGTAAATTAGAGAAAAGGAATGAGGAATAGGAGTGGGGGAATAGCTCCTGAGAGACAGGAGTGATCCAGAATGGGTTGCCCATGGGCCCACCTCTCAGGAAGTTTTCTAGAGCAAAGTCATGACGGACACAGCATGGGTCAAAATTAGTATCAACCAATACGACTGCAAGTACAGAACTGAGCAGTATGTTAAAAATTAGTTGTCCTCCTGTGAGAGAGAGACATTTCTCAATGAGGGCAGGGACAGTATTTGTGTTGAAACCTTGAGGGAAGAGAAGCAGGCACTCATGGGAAGGACCCATGGAAGAACAGTTTAAGCAGAGGAAAAAGTGAGGACAAAGGGCTGGGATACAGAAGACTCAAAAGGACAGGGAGTGTGACCAACAGGCAAAGGGGGGCAGCAGGGCTGAGCATGGAGAGTGAGCTGAGTCAGGAAAGCTGTCATTTTATGTTCAGCAGGCAGCCACTGAAAATTTTAAGGCATCAAAGGATTTAAATATTTAATTTTAATACATTTTATTTCATGCAGTGTTTGAGTTACTCAAATTCAACCTAAGATCTGTAATCTAAAATTGTATTTTTAATACACTAAAAGCTGGCTATGTAAAGAAAATTAATGCTATTTTTTAAAGTGAAAAAGCTAGAGCGCTAACCACTTTCCTATTCCCATGTCTCCTTGTAGACTATGCCAGATGTGTAGAAGTGGTTTTCCCTGGCAAGAAAGAACTGTATCATTACCCAGTGGCAGTTTGCTGGCAGCATCTGGTCCTTTTGTTTTCTTCTTCTTTTTCCCCACTCTAGTTGGTACAGGAGGTTCATATTTCTTTTTCTTATCCTTGAGATTTTAAGAAAAAAAGCAATATAGAAGTCAAAAAACACAAATTTCTTTCTACAACATCGCTACCTATTTCTGGGTGACAGGATTTTCCCTATCTTTTAGAATGATATTAAAATACTACCTTAAAAAACAACAACTAAGTTTCACAATCCTACAATTTTAATAAATAAAAATAATCTTTTGATGTTACTGGATGACAATGAACAGATTATTCCAGTAAGGTACAGAAGTCAGAACTGTTATATGTCAGAAGTTTAATGCAAGGCAATTTCGCACACTTCACGATATTAAACTGTAAAGTTATAGGCAATTTACGTTAAAACTTCTGTAGTGTTAATCCTCTTACTCACCTAAAAATCATTATCTCATAAATACCTGTCTGATTTAAAAAACACAAAATGGGTGTACTATCTACAGGCATGCTAGGTAAGTAACTACTGAAACACTTCGCATTTTAAAATTCTTGACTTTTCAAAGAACCCAACTGATACCTATAATGCAGTACACTGCTCAATAATGCAGTACATATCTGGTTTCTTACTCACCTTATCATCCTTCTTACCACCTCCAGGACCATGGCCACCACTCTGACTTTGACCCTGAAAGAAAGAAGAAAAAAAAAAGGCACAAATATAAAATCAGAATAGTGACTTCAAAAGAATACCCATCATACTATCCTATAATTCTGAAACACAAACATATTCCCCTCACTTCAATGCTTATGAAACTTCAGAGGTACCTTCAGCTAATGTATGCATTTTGTGTAGTAGAGATTACATATAACTGATTACATCTGAGGATCAACAACAGCTCTATTATGAAGTAGACACAACTAAGGAGGCTGGGGTTCTAAGAATATCCCCTCCTGAGTAGGAGGTACAAAGCCTGACATTCCTTAACATAAAACTGCCAAGACTGAGGCTACTAGTTTATTTCAAGAAATTAAGTTGTGAGAACTGTCACTGTACATACTCAATAATCATTTACTCTTTTGGAAGATCACAACAAGATCCAAAAGAACAACTTATTTTCTGAAGACAAGGTGAAGCTCACAGGGAGGACTTTCTTCTCAATCTGAAAAGCTAAATCAACTTAAGGTGTAAGAATTTATAAAAAGCTCAGTGGGATTTCTGCTTGTAAAACAGATACACTGGACAATTCATGACACAGTCCAAACAAACCTTAGTGTCATTTTAAACATGAGGAATACTGAACTAATCAAGAGGGGATGCTCAGTCCCTTCAGGTCACTTTCACATATGCACCTTTAAAATTAATGTAACAGCAGCTTTGTTATCAAGAACACACAACCACAACCTTGGTTACCCAAGAGTCAATGGCAAATGCATTTCATCACCTGCAAGATTCTCAAAAAACACACACACACATACACACACACAACTCCCCAAAACCTTTGTGCTTTAGTTCTCAAGAAGGCAATCAAGGGTATAGGGAGGTTCTAGATAACACAGTTATGCTGAAGTAGGCTGTCCAAGTTACAGGCCTTTAATAATTACTTGTATCTCCTTAGGAAACGTGTCAGTGAGTGGGGCAGCTAATGCTGAAGAGATCCTTACCGTTAGCCCAACTCTGCACTATCTCATTAATTTTGTATTTCATTGTCTCCTTATTTCCATACTTCCTAAGGTGCAGTTCATTATTTCTTCTTTCATAGGTGAGGAACTACAACAAGCCTGTGAACACAGGCTGTGGAATTAAGATGAATCCAAGTTTGAATTCTGGCTCTATCTCTATAGGCTATGTGGCTTTGGATAAATCAGGTCATGTCCTTGAGCTCTGGTGTCCTTCAGTGAACAGCAACAAAAAACTAGCTCCTGTTGCTGAAAATGAAGTCACACATGCAAACCACTTACCAATTACATGAATTAAGTTTTCTCCAATGTATTATTACTCGTGAAATAAGGAAGGGTAGAGTCAGAATTTCAATTATTATTAGGCTGGGTACAAAACCATCCAAACCCATTCTGGTTCCATTCTTCACTCTCTTTTACCTGTCTCTCTACTCTCCATCTCCCCAATCTCTTTTTGGACAGGGTTGTCATCTCTTATTTGGATATACACCTGCCATCTGACATCTCTGGGTCCAGTTTCTCTTCTCACCAATCCAGCTATTCATTACTTTCTAAAACAAACAGCTAGCTGCGCACAGTAGGATAGCCCTGTAATTTCAGCACTCAGGAGGCGGAGCCAAGAGGACTGCTGTGAGCTCAAGGCCAGCCTGGGCTACACAGTGACACTACATTAAAAAACTAAAGAACAAAACAAGCAAATCAAAACACAAAGTGACCTGCTCCCTGGTCTTTACGGGGTAACATGCAAATTCTTCAGTTTGCAATACCTGGTCCTTGCCAAACTGGTTAACCTTAACCTTTCTAGATTTACACCGTGCCTTTTTCCAAGATCCTGCAAGTCTGGCTTCAATAGGAAGCCAGAATTCATCCCAAACTCCATCTCTTGGACATTTGCCTTGTTTCTTGGTCTCACATAGCCCCCTACTATGCACAAGTTGTGTGCTAATAAACATTCGGAGTATCGTCCCATCCTAGTTAACGCTTATCAAACCTGAACATTACTATCATCACCTCCAGTTCACAAATAATGAAATCAAGACCCTGATAGGTCAAGTAACTTGTACTGCCACAAAGTTTGTCTGACATGGAGCCAGGAACAGTCAGGTCCGCTGGTCCACAGAACCTAGATACCTTTCTATTAGAAAACACCGACAGAGTTCATGTTCCACCACAGCTACCCTCTTTAACGAGATGAGGATACTTCAGTAGGAATAACGAACGACAAAATGTAGCAAAAAACCGGCCACGAACTCGGAATACTACCCCGCAGTGGCAGTACGTGGCCTGACCTTCTTGCTACACACGCTCTCGGGCTGCTCACAGCCCCATCTCTGGTCCTTTGCACTTGCTGGCCCTTCTGCCCGGCCCAGGTTTCCCTCTACGTTTGCACGAGTTACCCCCGCAATTTAGGGCCCTATTCAATTTTCATTCTCAAGGGTCCCCATGATACCTTACCCAAAACAGCTACCCTCCCCACCTCATCCCCTCCTCTAAAACAGCCGCGGCAACGGCGGGCGGGCGGGCGGCCCAGCCCTACCCTGCTCTCCGCCACACACCTGTCTACTGTCCACCTGCTCTCCCCAAAGGAAGCGCCACGAAGGCAGGCAGGCCACCCAGCCTGCTCCCCACCGCCGAGCCCCAGTTGCCCAGAACAGACCCTACCAAAAAGGCAGAGCAACGCAAGCGCCCGACTGCGTAGCGAGCTGATGAGTAAACGCCGGCTGTTCTACGCCAAGTGCCAAGGCCACCAACACCCAGCGCTGGCGGTCCTAAAGCGTCCGCCTCGGCCCGCGCGAGTCCCCTCCGCTCCGGCCGCTCAGAACACGCCTGCCCGGTTCCTCGGGGAGGCGCCCGCGCCGGTCTGCGACGCCCAGGTCGGCGGAGCAGCAAAGCTAGCCAGGTGGCCGGCTCTCCGCCGCCCGCCCGGGGACCTGCGCGCCGAGACCCGCCAGGCCAGCTGGTCGGACCTGAGCGTCGTCTCCGGGAGCCTCGGCTCGCCGGGCCCAGGGGAGGGGAGAGAGCGGACGGACTTCCTCCGACAGCCGCCCAGTTCTCTTGCCTCGGGCTGTTCTGACCACTTGGTACCGCGACCAGCGGCCGAAAACCTTAGTCACTCACCATCTTGCCTCGGCCGCTCTAGGCACCGCTGCCGGAAGTGCACTTCCCACCGAGGCAAGTCGGTGGCGGAAGTTGTGACGAATACTACGGTAGTCGAAAGGGATCAAATCTGCACGGATGAACTTGTGCGCAAAGTGATCGTGCTGTTCGGTTGGCACCGCGTTGTAACTCGTGATGTGAATCTTAGCAATGTTGTAGTTGAAAAAAATTTAACGATCTCATTAAGTTTTGCCAATGACTTAATGAGTTTCACTGTCAACCAAAGGAAACATTTGCGATGTAAAATAAAAATATTTACATTGTGTTAAAATCATAACTGGAAAGAAATGACAGCCCCCAAAACTGGAAGGGCACTCGGAACTGCTAAGTTGACGTACATCATTGCCCAAACGTGTTCTTGTTCTCTGGAATGAACTTGCACACTCTGGAATGAACTTGCACACTCGAGGGTGTCTGTAACGAGTTGTCTCCGTTAACTGTGTCAAACGTTCTAAAATTCCTCATCTTGAATTAGTTGGTAAAGATCGCCACCTTCTATATCCACCAGGATTCAGTGATGCGATCCTTTCTGTGTCAGCAGGTGCTCAAATGCTGCAATGAATTTAGGGATTTTATTTTATTTTAAGAATGCAATGTTTTTATTCATCCATAAACTAAAAGGCCATTTCTGATGCTTCTTTCTCACATATACTTCATTTGTTTTATGAAAAAGCAAAGCCCCATAAGTGGCAACCACTTAGTCCTCAGACTCTGACCCATCTTCGCCGTGACTAATCTGGAAGCCTCGGAGTTCCTAAGTCTCTTCGTCATCCGCAACCACGCGAAGCCAGTCACGAAGATTATTCTTTTTAAGATACTTCTTGGTAAGATATTTCAAATACCTCTTAGAGAACTGTTTCTCGGAAACAACTGTGATCTTAGTCTTGAACCATTCAGTGTGAGCAACATTCCCAAGGTTTCCAGTTTTTCCATTGACTTTAACCTTCTCCCTCAGAAACCGTTCAAAATTTCCAGAATCAAGATTTCCATGTACTACTGGATCAGGTTCAAATTAAACTGCCAGGATGACCTCTGAGGCTTCTTGTCTTTCTGTGGCACCATCTTGACAGCAGCGGGATGATCAGAGAGACTAATTTAGGGATTTTTGTTGTGAAACACTAAAAAGATTTCACTTGTTTCACACACAGCACACACACTCCTTCCTGTCCACCACCGCTAAAACACTTGTTAAATCAGACTTTTGAGACCAAGACCTTTTTGAAAAAAATAGGTTTCAGTTTAGGACGAT